TAAATACTGAATTTAATCACAGGAAATATATTCAATCTTGATCAGAAATTGAGATTATTTACTTTTTTACCTGGAGGCACATTGCTTAGAAGAAATACCAAGTTTGGAGTCAAACCAAATTTGAATTCTAGTTCCAGGATTTATCAGCTGAACATATTTTGGAAGTTACTTAACCTTTGTGAGTCTTCATTTCACTATCTGTACAAAGGGAATAATACCTTTAAGGTTACTGAAAGATTAACTGTAGCTGAGTGTGGTGGCACATGCCTTTAACCCAGCACTTGGAAGATAGAGGCAGGTGGATTGCTATGAGATCCAGGCCAGCCTGGTCTACATAGCAATCTAGGCCAGCTGGAGCTACAGAGAGATCCCTGTCTTTTAAAATAAATAAATAAATGGCTAACACATGGAAAATACTCAAAAAAACTTTTATTCTATTTCTCCCCTTTCCCTAGAAATATGCCAGTGAAAAAAATGTCTAATCCAGTGACCTCATTTCACTGACAGAAATCATCTTGGCATTTAAATGACAGGGAAGTCACCGAGCTTCCTAACCATACAAGACCTAAAGAATCCAGGTTTCCTGATTCTGGGCCCAAGTCTTTCCACAGTGTTACACAGCTATCCTCAAGCATGTAACTTTTCTACGTCTCCTCTGCTTACAATTCATCAAATACAGAAGCTACTTCTAAGTGTGAGTTTGAAGGAAATCATTTACCTTTGATTCCTCGATCCATTTTCATTAAACGTCTGATTATGGAATCACAGCTATCTCCTTGTCTGATATCAATTTTGGTTGAGAAATAGCCATTGGATGGTTGGGGATTTACTAGGGAAATTGGTACACCAGGCTAGAAAAATAAAGAATAAATAACTATACAAGATATCTAACTTGAATACTGCCAAAGCAAGGGCAATCTTGCTACATTTTCATTACTCAGTAAAGTCGTATCTAATTCTGATATTCTAAATCATGACCAAGACAGAGTCACATATGAAAGAAAAGCTGCATAAGTTCATGTTTACAATGAGATATCTTTAAAACTGATTACAACTCTCTCAATAGACAAACTGATAGCAGAAAATAACAATAATTCTATTTTCTCTTCCACAACATCATCGTTTGTTGAATTTCTCTACTATAAATCACTCTAAGAAGCAACTTATACATTATTTCTATATCCAGAAAAGTAGTTCTTACAAACGAGAAGCTGACAACCAAGACTAAGAAATTAGCAAAAGCCATAAAGACAATTAAGTAGTAAGACAAGAATTAAGCCCAGTTATATGCCACACTATCTAGCACTACAGAAACATTAGTAAAGAACCCTGCTTATTATTTTAAGTGGAAAAAAAGCCAACCGAATCTTGTGAAAAACTAAACAGAATACTGCAAAGTGGCTTGAAATAATATATCTGTATAGAGAACACTATTTTGCTTATTCCCATGGTTCACATGATTGCACTTGTGAAAGCTCCCACCGCATAATGCAATGAGAGGTCCCCATGATCATGAGTCTTTCAAAGCAGACCTTTTCTGTTTTTAATTAAATGTGGTAAAAGTAACTGTATATATATATAAGTACTCAGCTTACCAAGATAAGCAGGTCATTATATGGTGTCACAATTGTAGTCCAAATTGGAATGGAGTTCTTGAGGGTAAATAGAATCTTTAAGACCTTTTTTTTTCCCCACCAGTAATAACCAAAAAAAGGAAGGGGGGGGGGAAGCAATTCCACCATAAATTAAGATGATATATCTACCTGGTTTATACACAAAAACAAGAAGCCTTGAATAAGTCAAACTAAGGCTCAAAATAAACATCTGAAAGCTCTTTGCCACTGTCTCAGAAAGTCTTACCCAAAGCTAGTTTTCATAATTTTTTACTTATTTATTTTTATGTGTATGAGTGTTTTCCTGCATGTACGTAAATGCACCCAGGGTGTGAAATGCCCACAGAAGGCAAAAGAGGGCACTGGATCCCCTGGAACTAGAGTTACAGATGGTTGTTAGTCATCATGTGGGTGGCTGGGAACTGAACCCAAGTCCTCTGCAAGAGCAACCAGTGCTCTTTACTTTCTCAGCCATCTCTCTAGCCCCCTACTTTTTAAAAATAAAGACCATGTTCAGAATACCATTATTTTTCTTTAAAGATTTATTTTTATGTGTATGTGAGTGCCTGCATATATGTATATGTACCACATGCATGCCTGGTGCCTGAAGAGGCAAAAGGGCATCAGATCCCCTGAAACTGAGTTACAGTTTTTAGCTGGCATGGGGGTACAAGCCTGGGTCCTCTGTAGAGCAGCCAGAGCTTCTAGCTGCTGAGCCATCTCTCCAGCCCTCCCCCTGCTGCCCACCCCCCCTTTTTTTTTTGGTGTTTTTGAGATAGGGTCTCCCTATAGCCCCAGTACTCAGTATATAGACCAGGCTGGCCTTGAGCTTACAGAGATCTGCCTGCCTCTGCCTCCCAAGTGCTGGGACTAAAGGCATGTGCCACCACACCCGGCATTTTTTTATTTTTAAAAACTACAAATAATAACTAATACCATCCATAGTAGTAAAGTTAGGAAAAGTAAGTACTGCACAGAGAAGTAGGACACCTCAGGCCGAGCCCTATTCCTAACTGTGGCATGAAACAAACTATTTACCTAATTTCTCTGTGTCCTGCTTATCTCTCCCTGTAAAATAATGGGCCTTGGTGCAATGACCTTATCTAAGGTCTCTTCTAGGTCTAAGAGGCAATGATCCAGTATGATTTCAACTTACTTCTGTTCTAAAAACATTAAGTGGCTTCCCAGGACAGCAATCTTCCCTGATTTTATCTTCTGCTTCGGAGGCAAACTTGACTTCTATAAGTTCTAGTGGGGGGGGGGGGGGGGGAGGAGTAGAAAAGATTAGTAACACTTAATATGACTGAAATTAATCACCACTTCATTTCACCAAGAGCAAACTAGTTTCTCCATTTAACATGAAATGGTCTCTGCAATTCTTTTGTTTTCCTTATCAACATAAAATGAAATCTGTAATCAGTTATTAACATTCATCTTAGATGTCTCACAGCTTTTTATTTATACAGTCATATTTGGCAGTTTCTATAAGAAAAACAAGAAATCAGCATAAAACTTTTCCACTTAGACAAGCAGAAGCTCCAAAATTTATTATTTGAGAATAAAAAGGTTTCAGTTAAATAAATGGAAGAAAAGTTTAGAAATGTAACACCCTGCATATTTCTGAATGCAAGATGACTGACTCTAAGGCATGTCTCTTCTGTCTAAGTGACAAAATCCAAGAACAGTTTTTTTAGGTAATATATATATGAGCATTTAGAGAAATACATAAAAATAGATGTCTACTATCTGGCTCATTATTAAGAGGATTAGTATACATGAAGCTCTTGGTTCAATCACTGCAACAAAAACCCCACAGTAATAATGAATAAAATCAATTCTCATTTAGAACTTTCTTTTATTTCTGTGTTCCATGAAACAGTTTTTGGTCAAACTCTAAGCCTATATTTGTTTTCATTTTAGTGGCAATATTTTTAGAATGATGTTTTGAGTCTTCTAAAACAGTACTCTTAAGCAAATTAGTTTTCCTTTTGCCTAAGCTAAAGGAAAGCTTTGAGAATCTGTGTAAGAATGTGTGATTGTTAATGTATCAGGAACCCCGGATTATAATTAATTCAATTTGGTGAATCTGAAGTTTGAGGTGGGAGCAATTCATAATGCTCCATAGTATGAGAGTCTTCAAAAACATCTTATAAGGTTCTCTGTCTCTGTCTTTTATTTTGCTGTTGTTTGTATATGTGTTGCTGGGGATTCTCCTGGCTGTTTTAAAGTCAATCTGAGAGAATACCTAGCCATACACATTTCACTGTTTACATACAAGACAACTTTTATACCTATTCATTTGCTTTCATCTCAAATATTTATTAATGATGTATTTGGCAAAAGAAACACAGGAGATGAAGTATATACAAAGGTTTATACATACAGATTAGAGATGCATGCGCCAATACCTAAGTGTTATTAGCAAAAACAATGAGTCTTTCTGTAAGAAACAGTGTATTTTAAAATGAAATGGAGATCTTTTTTAAAGGTTAAAAACTCATTCAATTTTATGTCTTACAGGATTTATACAGAGTTCAATATTGTATAACTGTATTAATTCAACTGTGAACCTAAAAATTTTATAGCCATTTTTGAAAGAGATGTTTCTTTGCTCTGGAAATTATTATTGAGGATGTTAAAGCTGTAATGAAATGCTTCTTCTAAAAATAAAATAAAAATTAAAAAAAGGTTTATAATAAAAGGTTGTAGAACTAGATTGTGGTTTTTCTACAGCTGATTAGTAGTTACAATCTCTACCTTCTTACCTCAAGAGAATTAGTTAGGTAGACTATGTTCTCCATAAGCACTGCCTGTTCATCAAATTCCAATTGCAAATCCAAAACATGAGGCCCCTTCTTCTCCACATTTTCCTAATAACCAAAGTTATTTGGTTTGAAAAACAAAATCACATTAAGGATAGGTTGAAAAGAATCTGTTTCCTCATAAATATTCATTCTCTCAATCTTTAAATTTCAACAGTTAAAGGAAAGGCCTGGGACTCATGGATTTCTCTTATCTATGTTTGCTTGTTAATGAAATTACTTGCTCAGAATTATCAGTTAAAATTAGATAAGATTTAAGGCAGCACTCTGAAAGACAGGAAGGCATGGGGTTTTCAAATTTCAAAAATAAATATGGTTTTATCATCTTTTATTAACACTGACTTAATGTGCAAACCAAAAGAATTCACTGTAACAAGGAACCAAAGAAATGTATGAAAACCACCTCTCAGGTAAACTTTTAATTTTCCAAAGTAGCAAATATAAAATTCCTAAAGATATTCCGAAAAACTTAAAGGAAAAATGAAAGTTATACTACATACGTACTAAGATAATTGGGTATTCACAAAACAATTTCTTAATTATCTTCAACATTAAATGTTTGCTACTCAGAACATAACCTTAGTGATCCAAGTTCATAAGTACAGAAGCTATCTAGCAAAGTATGTTACACTTATGTGAAAGTAGCCCCACATGATTCCTGTTACCCACTGCTTTTGTCTACCACCTACAGTAGATTCATGCCTTTATACAGGATGAACTCAGCCTGCTTCCCTCCACATGTACTGCAGGTGCTCCTTACCTGTCCTTCTGCCATGATGACACCTCACAAAGAGATCAACCAGATGCTAGTGCTGCTCTGTTACCTCCCTGGCTTTAGAACCATGACCCAGAAAAACTCCTACTGTTTATACAAATTATCTAGTCTTGAGCTGAGTCACTCCGTGTTAGATGTTTGCCTAGCAGGCTCAAGGCTCTGCATTTAACTGCCAATACCACTAAAAGAAAAAAAATTATCTAGTCCATGGTATTGTTATGGCAGCAGAAAATGGACTAAAACATTCTCTAGTTCCATTCTCCATAAAAGTACTAGAAAGCCAGTTTTGCAACAGGGTCTCATGTAGTCTATGCTGGCCTTGAACTTGCTAGCTGAGGATGTCCTTGAACCTCTTATCTTCCACCTCCCAAGCACTACAATTACAGGTATGCACTAACATGCCCACTTTTATGTGGTACTGGGGACCCAGGACTCTGCATACTAAGCAAGCACTCTACCACCTGAGCCACAGTCTTAGCCCTACAAAGCCATTTTCTCTTTTACCTTTTTTTTTTTTGGTCATTTTGGTTTGGGACAGGGTCTCCCCATAGCCCCAGCTAGCCTGGAATTCACTGTGTAGACCAGGCTGGGCTCTGCCTCCCAAATGCTGGGTTTAAAGGTGTGTACCACAGCTCCTGGCCTCAAAGCCATTTTCTTAGTCCCAGATTTGTCAATCATTTTCAACATTTGTAAAACTACTTTTGCTTGCCAATACAACAATAGTATTAAAAAATACATTATTACTCAGTCTGATAGCGAAACCCTAAAGAACTGTTCTATAACGAAGAATTAACCACTCCAAAGTATCAATAGTCATTGTTCAGAAACCCAGGTTTAACGACTATCACCAAATTTTTCCTTCTCAGCTAAATTTACAAAAATGTAGAAATAAGTTTTCAGTAAAAGGATCTAGTGAAAACACCCTAACATAGCCAAAACTGAAAAGAACGAAGGTATAACATGAAGGAACTAATTTAGTGCAGCAATTCTAAGCTGATTTTTCTTCTGTAATATATATTTTCACATACTCCACATAGATAAATCTAAGATCTGGTAGCTCACTTCTCACAGCCACTGATGGAAAGGTGCTATTTTAGTACATCTCCAGGGGAAGACTATACCAAGGCTTCTCCTCTTCTCTTGTCCTGTTTAACCATTTCTCATATGGTCATAGTTGTACAAGTCCACAGGTACTTTTACCTTAATCATGGCAACAAAAGGCATAACTTTCTTCATATATTTCTTCAATTCTGACAAATTACCAAGTTCACTAGCAAGGACTTTGTTATCAGGAAATTTTCCACTGTTGGCCTAAAAATGGGAGCAGGGAGAGGGATGTAAAGAGAAATAGTTTAAAGATGATGTAAGAGCATAGGAATGCCTGTTAACAACTCTGCCAGACACAGAATGGTAGCCTCTGTCTGTTGGAGACAAGAGTGTTTAGCAAGAGCATCATGGGAGGTCAAAGTTAAGGCCAATGCTGAAAATGCATGCTTATCAAGTCTAAAGAAGAAAAACCAAGTACAGTACCCTGAATATTTATCTTCCTTAATAACAGAAGCCCAAAAGCTCACGCCTTTAATCCCAGCATAGGTAGAGGCAGGCAGATCTCTGTGAGTTTGAGGCCAGCCTGGTCTACATAGCGAGCTCCAGGCCAGCTGGGGCTACAGGGAGACTCTGTCTCAAAAACACTTAAAAAAAAAAAAAAGGCACAGCATGAATCTAAATGGAAATAATACACAGTATGATTTTAAATGGTTTATTTACATTCAATTTTAAACTTTACTAAAGTTCATGAAAAACAGTGTTTTCTCTACTTGTCAATGAAGAAGAAAGATGGTAGGAAACATTCCTTTTCCTTGGCACCAAAAAGGTACCATGTTCTATGTACAGATCTTCTGGATTGTAAACATTCTTTTAGTTCTTTTAAATGAAAACAAGTAAAACTTCAAAAAGAAATTAATAATGTCAAAAGACATTGTTTCAAAACAATAGACTACCTGGTCAAAGAACATGAAGTAAAAATAAGACACCTAAAATGAAAGAGGTAATTTGTGTTTTAACAGCAGGGGCACTACACACCCTCAGCTGCTTCCTGGACCTGCTGGTGTGAATCCGGAATCAGCCAAGGCCGTTTCATTTTCTCTACTGTGGAGGTTGTGTTTCCCATTTGCTTACTGTAACTAAAATCTGCAAGCAGATTCTGAAGGCCACCTTCTACTTCTAATACACATAATCAAAGGTGGGGCTCTCCATAAAAATATATTCATGAGGAACAGCAAAACATTGCTTCCCATTACATTTTACAACTTTAGAAACAGTTTTTCTGAATATTTTTTAATTTGCAATGAAAAGCATTATAGCAAAATTCTAATAAAGTTCTGAAGTCAAAATTATTTTTTTCTTTCATATTTTGATCATAATCCCTATTTTGTCTCTTTTATTGGAGGGGCGGTCTTTTTGAGACATGTCTCCCTGTAGCCCCAGCTGGCCTGGAACTCACTTGTGTAGACTAGGTTAGCCTTGAAATCATAGAGATCTGCCTGCCTCTGCCTCCAGAGTGCTGGGATTAAAAATAGGCATGCACCACCACACCCAGCTACTGTCTTTCTTCTTTTTTATTTTTTTTTTTTAGGTCTTTTTGAGACAGGGTCTCCCTGTAGCCCCAGCTGCCCTGAAACTCACTATGTAGACCAGGCTGGCCTTGAACTCACAGAGATCCGCCTGCCTCTGCCTCCCGAGTGCTGGGATTAAAGGCGTGTACCACCACGCTCAGCTGTCTTTCATTTTTTTAAGACACTTCAATGGTTTGTCTACCAATAATAACTGTTCAAATAACCTGAGCACAAAAATCAAAGTTACATAACACTCACTTTGTTTCCAAACTATGAACATCAAAGAAAAACATTTTTTCTACTAAGAAAAGTTAAACCTGAAGCATTGAGTTTCTTATAAACGGAACTATCTTATTTCATAGTTATTTGACATCTTTGAGTGCTACCATTCCATAGGTAATTATCAACCTAAATTTTATTTTTTAATTATTGAAGAACAAAGCTTCAGTTTACTTCAAATATTATAAAGTTAAGCCTTCAAAATTCCACTGGTCAAGTCACAATAAATTAAAAATGAAAATTCTATTCTCTTTCATCATTTTAGCTATATAGATGGCGGGGGGGCGGGGAACGACACACTGTTTAACTACAGACTAGATTCAGTATATTTTTGTAAGAAAGTTTCAGAAATAGTGAAAAAAACAGCAGCTTTTCCCTTGGCATCTACTTATTAGCTACCAAGAATAACAGAGAACACTCCCTGCCTAGAGGGAATTAAACAAGGCCATCTGCCTTCTTTCCCCAGATACTGTGAAAGTCCTATACCAAGACATAAGTAGGCCATAACAGAACTGAGGAAAAGTCTGAGAGCATCACCTCAAAGTGGTTACGCAGAACAGACAAGGTAGTATGTTGCCAAGGAGGGTAGTTCTTTGCCACATAGATGGTGCAGTGTGAGGGCCTCTGGGGTGGTTGCTTGTCAGTTTTCTGCATAGGAGAAGAAAAAGAAAACCTGTTTTTGTGTAAATCAAAGATGAGAACATTGACTCAGCACCTACTACTACCACCTTTAACATTTAAAAATACTAACTTCAAACCGTATCCACAATAAACATAGCACCAAACATTTTAATCAGTCTTAATTTTCATCACTGTCAAATGTCAGCTGATCAAATTCTTATAAGGAATAATCTTTAAAAAACTTCTGTAAAGGATAACATCACCTTTCCTTTAGCTGGCATCATATAGTTCTTGAGTCGTAATCTGAGGTCATGTGCTACTTCCATGAGATATTGTGAGGAACGGATCAAGGAATCATCCACAGGACCTGCCACAGGCCACAAGGCATTCATAATTGAGTCAGGCTTTAAAAATAAAAAAGGTTCAGTGAGATTAAATAACACTCCTTATAATTATTGCTTACAGTTTCATACCAAGGCTACCATCTGTAATTGTGTAATTGTGTGCCCTAAGTTCAAACCTGACTACACATAGCACACTTCTACAGTCCCTGATCTAATGTTCCCTAGAATTCAAGCTGTGAAGTCTGACTCTACATTCTTAATTAGCATCCATTTGTACAAGCATATTAATACCCACACACATATGCTCACTTTCAAAGAAAATTATGTAATGCTAATTTGCCTAAATTTAATCATTATTATATAAATTATGCATGCTCTCAGTTTTTATCCTATTAATACATCCAGTATTGAAAGTATGGCTATTCAGCATATAGACCATGAGCACATTTTTGCACTGTTCATGTACTGAAAAACACAAAAGCCTGGCTAATGAGGCTGGAAAGGAATACTAAACAAGCCAATCTACTTATCTCCAAGCCTGGGGAAATAACTGAATTTATCTTCACACTAAAAATGCTAATATAACATCTCTAAATATACAGCCCTATATATGCTAGGAGTTTTACATAAAACAATAATATTCATACAAATATACCCTTATATTTTTGTTTCTAAGCAGCTCCTATTTGTTATTTGTATCTTTCTAAATATGTCTACCTTTTTAACAACTAGAAGAACAATGTGTTCAAATATGTATCTGACTATATTAAATGTATTACATTTCCTAGCAGGTGGTAATTAGACTGTAGATAACATACAGATGATTACATTTTAAAATATATGCACTGTATATAAACAAATGTACATACATGATGTCTTATGTATTGTTTCGATCTCTTAGAATTATGATGAATAACCCAGTACCATTCCTAAACTACTTTTCTGTTTCTCTTAGGTAACAATATTATCACAACACTTATTTGATAAGGTCAAAACTATACCACTTACAACACTTTAAACCCAATGAGGTACCTTTCCGAGGAGTGTCCAGATGTGTTCACACAAATGTGGACAGAATGGAGCCAAAAGAAGTGTCTGAACTTCAATAAAGCGGAACACAAGCTCTCGGTGCATCCCTTCTACGGCCAGTTCACGATACTTATCTTTTGCAGCCTATATAAAATTTCAAATCATTTAACATTTCTCTCACCTTCTTTAAAACAAAAATGAAGATGAAAAATTCAATACCTTGGTTTTAATGTATAAAGTCTTAGTCTTTTAAAAATTACATAATAGCAGGGTGTGGTGGCACGTGCCTTTAATCCCAGCACTCAGGAGGCAGAGGCAGGTGGAAATCCAGGCCAGCCTGATCTACATAGCGAGTTCCAGGCCAGCTGAGGCTACAGGTAGACCCTATCTCAAAAATACCAGAAAAAAAAGTTCCATAATAACTATTATAAAAGTTTCACTTTATTTTCAAAATTCTCCAAGCAAATACACAACACTTTATCCAAAGAATACTGTGGCTTTACATTAGTGATTCTCAGGAAAGGGGGCTGGGAGTGTAGCTTAGTAGTAGAGTGCTTGCTGAGCATGTGCAAAACCCTGGGTTCAACACTCAGCATTCAAGAAAAAGAAAAAAACAAAAAACAATTCTCAGAATTTTCTCTTTTTTTTCTGTCTCATTTGGGTTTTAGCAAAACCCTGTCTCAGAAAACCCAAACGAGACAAGAAAAAAAAAAAAAGATTCCTTTTTTTTTTTTTTTTTTTTTTTTGGAAAAGGGCTTTTTGTAGCCCTAGCTAGCCTGGAACTTACTATGTAGACCAGGCTAGCCTTGAACTCACTATGTAGACCAGGTTGGCCTTGAACTCACAGAGATCCATCCGCCAGCACCTCTGAGCCTCCCGAGTGCTGGGATTAAAGGCATGCACCACCACACCCCGCAGGATTCCATTTTTATCAGTGCACTATTTGATCCAGGCTGACTTCAAACTTACAGCAATCCTCCTGCCTCAGGCCTCTCATATGTTGGAATTACAGGCATAAGCCCACCATGCCCAACTTTAAAAGATTTTAAAAGGCATTCTGTAACTGAGACATAAAAGCTAAACCATCTGAACTGTTTTCTAAGGTCAGACTCTGCAGTGCACAGGAACAATGTAATATAAAAGGGCCATAAATACAAGTATCTCTGTGCTCAGCATTTCTCTTTATTCACATCTGGAAACCAAGTTACATAAATCCCAATGTGACATTTGACAGAACCGATGGAGTAAAGCTACAAATGCTGCCTGAAATGCCAAATCTGGAAAAATACTGACACCTTGTGGAAAAACTCAGCAAGCATTTGCTTCCAGGTTGATAGCAATTAATGACACTTTTGTTTTCACAATTATCAATCAAAATGCTTCTGCACAGCAGGACACAGTGGCACACACCTATAATCCCACTTCTTGAAAAGTGGAGGCAGGAGGATCAGGAGTTCAAGGGTTTCAGACTTAGCTGTCATTGGACCCATGAGAAAATGCTCACAGGTCAAACAAGAGCAGAGTTTTCCACAATGAATAAATACAACAGAAATAATGTCAAAAAAAACTACTTAAAATTACATTTTATTGGAAAACTTGAAAAGATTTTCAGTCTATACTTTGCATGTGCAAATCCCATAGCAAGAAAGAAGGGAGAAAATACATCATATTAACGCTGATATGTTTTAGATACCAAAAGAATAGCGTACCTGAAACTCAAAGAACCCTGTTTTCAAAGCTTCTTTAAACATCATCTTTTCATAGTTTTGATCTGTTTTTATAATTCCTGCATTCATTTCACTATTGAATAGGGAAAGAAAAGCTAGTGAACTTAAAGGCAACTATATATTTAATATATTTTGTAATATATTATTATATACTCATATATATATTCATATAACATATATTTGTATTTACATATTATACATATGAAACTGCTATATATGCCAATAAGCAGCAAAATAAGAACATCAGAAACATTTTGAGTTGCTCTATACAGGATCCAGGGAGACAGCTCAGTGAGTAAAGCACTTGTCATGCAAGCATGAGGACTTGAGTTTAGATCTCCAGAGCCTGCCTAAAGACAGATGCAGTAATACCAGCACTCCTCAGGTGAGATGGAGGCAGAAACAAGAGACTCCCAGGAAGCTCCTGATCCAGCTAGGCCATCATTCACATCAGAAAACAAGAGCACCTGTCTCAAACAAGGTGGAAGGCAAGAACCAACAACTAAGATTCTTTTCCAACCCCTACATGCATTCTGTGGCACATGAGCACCCATTCTCACACAAGAATATACACATACAAATTTCTTTTTTAAATTGCTGTTTTTACAGCTGGGCGTGGTTGTGCACACCTTTAGACCTTAGCACTGTGGAAGCAAAGACAGGCTGATTGTGTGCTTAAGGCCAGCCTGGTCTCCATAGTGAGTTCCAGGCCAGCTGGGGCTACAGGGAGACCCTGTCTCAAAAAAAAGACCAAAAAAAATGTTGTTTTAAAAAAATGCTCAATACAAAACTGTCTCAGTCCTCCTTAAAACCATTGCAGTCTATCTGTCTACTGAACTGCAGCTGCTGTCCTTTCATGGTTCAGGGCTCCTACTTATGACAACACAGTTAACAATGTTTGTTTAGTATTTTGTTGATGAAGTTGGAGGTCATGGTGCCCTGTAATCCAGGTACTTGGAAGGCTGAGCTAGGAGGTCTGCATCAAGTTCAAGGTCAGTCTTGAGTGGTGTGGGTTTCAGGCCAGCCTGAATTTCACCAACTCCTTGATAAAAAGTGTTAGTGATGTGTAAATCACAATATGCAAACAACCTAAGGCTGTGGCAAGACTTCAGTTGCTTGCATGTTAAGTAACTGACATTGGATATTAGAAAAACAGTTCACCCCAGATTTAATTTGGCCTAATCTGACTCTGATCTCTCACCTCTGTCTTTGACACACTGTACTTCAAATATCACATCGTTTCCATGGATTATACATGCTTTCTCCTCTCCAAGACTACTGTCTATTTTTCAAAAACCCCAGAATTACCCTGAGCCCCCTGAATCCTCCTCCCTGTCCTGCATTTACAACTGGTGGCTGGCTAGTCAACAAGCAGAGACCAGGTCCTGCTTATCTTTGCAGCACTGGTGCTTGGGATGTCTTCTGATCTGAAAATGCTGGCAAATGTCTTAAAATTTTTTAAGAAGATATTTCTCTTTTTTTCTTAATCTATTTTTTCTTTAACCACTTTAGCCTGCTATAAAGCAAGAAAGCAGGGAAAATGCTTTTAAGAAGAGGTTTTGACGATAGAAGTTTATATCCCAAGTTTTCAATTACTAACATCAGATATTTAGTGAAATAATTTTGTTAAACCTCAGTTTCTCTGAGTAACACTGTAAGCATAAGGTTGCTTTGAGAATAAAGTCAGATAAAAATGACTAATATAGCATCTGGCACAAGTAAACATTCAATGAATAGTGGTTATTATCACTTAACTTATTTTAGAAAAAAAGAAAAAGAGAACATGAAAGTGCACTAAGACTAAGCCATTCTCACAAAAAGAGTGCTGGGATCCAAGGTTACCTGGCAAAAACTCTATCATTGAGAGTGCTGACAGAGCCGCTTCTCAGGCTGTCCCAGTTGGTAAGCATTTCCTTCACCCATTCTACCCATGTGTACAGACGGAGGATACCGGCATCTGCCATGGCTTCCACAAAGTTGGCATCTTCAATAGTGTCACCAGCATCAGCCAGAGCCAGGCGCATTCCTGAAAGAAGGAAAAAAATCCCTTTAAAAGACCAGGCTAGGCATGCTGCACACACTTCATTCCAGCACTTAGGAGGTAGCGAGATCAGAAGTTCAAGGTCCACCTTGAGCTACATAGTAAGTATGAAGTCGGCCTGAGGTACATGAGGCATTGTCACAAAAATCCAAAATACATATACACACATACACACACAGAGGATTACTGAGAAACAACTGTGCATCTTGTTGGATACACTGCAATCCTTACACATAAATTAAGAAATAGCAGATGCTTTACAGGACTGTACTAGATCAACAGGAAAAATAAAAATCACTTAAAGGTCCATAACTATGTTAAAATACTCAAGATAATTTGTATCAATTTACATAAACTTAGCATCACTGTGTTTCTTCTCAGGCATGTTGAGGTAATGATCTTTAATGAGGCAGAAGAAGAAACTGGGTGCATTTCTTTGTAGTTTCCCTTACCAACACCTCAGCCTCATGAGACCTCCTGAGAACACATGCTGGTGCCCTATGTATACAAATGCAATTTAATTTCTCAATTCTAAGATTTCTTTCAATTTTCTACTAATATAACTATTATTTCAATTGCCATCTCTTGTGCTACCAAAACTTTCAATTTAAAGATACTGAAAAAAAGACTAAACTTCCATCAATTGGCTGAATTAAGTAAACCATAAAGCATCTCTATAACAGAATGTTAGAAAAAGAAATGAATCCACTGTGCACCAATCGGTGCAATCTCAAACATGAACTAACAAGCAAAGATGATGAAGTAAGGAACAGTATGTGCAGCATGTCACTGTGAGAACAAGCAATATTTACTTCTACATACATTAGGGCTGGGGAGACAGCTCAATCCATAAAGTACTTGCTATGTACAAGGACCAAAAGTACTTTTGGTACAGGACCAAAGTTCTGCTTCCAGAATCCACTTTTAAAAAGCTGGTGGCACATGCTTGGAGACAGGCAGATCCCTGGGTTTTGCTGGCCAGCCAACCTAGCATTAACTGGTAAACTGCAAACCAACGAGAGACCCTGTCTCAAAAAGGTAGACAGCACCTGAGGTTGATCATTGGTCTTCATGTACATGCGCACACACACACACCACACATGTATGCAAACAGAAAAGCTATATATGCATTAAATATCTCATAGAACATACAAAGAGCTTTAATACTTTTCAACCTCTTATTTTTGAATTGTACTTACAGAAACATTGGGAAAAATAACAAATTAAGTTTATTCAATTCACCTCTTTCCCAAATGTTATAAAAGCTACAACTCAACAAGACCATAGTATCAAAACCAAATGGTTAGCACTGGTATAATAGTATTAACCAAATTATAGACTGTGTGCAAATTTTCAAGTGTTTCCATTAATATTCTTCTCATGTTCCAAACATAATCCAGAATCCCACAGTGCATTTAACAGCTGTGTATTTTGGCCTTTTTCAAATTTGTAACAGTTCCTCAGTCCTTGCTTGTCTTTCATGACTGACTTTGATGCTTCTGATGATACTAGTTACCTACTAGAATTACTCCCAATTTTGGTTTTATGAGACATTTCCTCATGAGGCTGCATTTACAAACCTTTGCCAAGAAACCCAACAGTGTCACTGGTATCAATCTAAGGCAGATACACCCTGGTGACTGCCACTGGTGCTGCCAGCCTTCCCACTTGGTTAAGATGTCATGCACTAAGTTTCTGCACTAGAAACTCACTGTTTTTCTTTTGGTTTGCACCTTGATAGAGATACTCAGAGAATATGCTAATAATCCTCTCTTCATCTGAAACTTCAGTCCACTGATTTTAGCAACCACTGGTGGATACTGCCAGTAACAAATATTCCCTTAGTGTTTGCCCAATGATTTTTATAAAATTTCATTCAATTTTCCTTTATTTATTCATTATACTTCAAAGGAAAAGATGTCTATACTCTCCCATTAACTAATCTATTCATAATTAATATCAGTACTGATTCACAGATATGTGTTTCATTCACTGGTTTATAATCCAATGCTATCATTTACTTCAATGCCTCAATCACTCTAGCATGAGACACTGAGAGTCCCTTCAAGTTTGTTCCTATGCCGGTTCAACAAGTCCCCAGCTGGGGCTGAGGACAAAGTTCAGTGGTAGAACACTTCCATATGAAGGGTAAGAGCTTGAGTTCTATCCTCAGTGCTGCAAGAAACAAGCTGGATGAGCTAACACTTGCCTATGAAGGGTGAAGGCAGGAGGATCTCAAGTTTGGAGTCAGCCTGGGTTATATTTCAAGACTGTTTCAAAAGATAAAGCCCACTAGGCATGGTGGTTCACACCTTTAATCCCAGGCAGAGAGGTAGGCAGAACTCTGAATTGGAGGTCAGCATGGTCTATATAACAAATTCTAGGCCAGATGGGGCTACAGGGAGACCCTATCTCAAAAACAAACAAAAAAAAAGGACAAGGCCCCAAATCTCTCCATCCTTTTCCAAAGAGTTCGATGTTTTCTGATGCCACAAAAGTTCCAGTCTCACCTTGTACTTGTACTTGACCTAGCCAATCAATCTCTTCCACGAGTCCTAGTTTCTTTTACAGAATAGTGTTTAGAAATCAAGATCTGACAGCAAGTATTGCACTGCTGCAGGGGTGCCACTGCTCTCGGCAGAGAACCAGGGGGGAAGTGTATTGCACTGACCCACACAACACCTCTATTTACTCTATGTCCATACATTTATACTAAAAACCATGAGCTCGGGACTGGAAAGATGCTCACTGGTTAAGAGCACTGGCGGCTCCTGCAGAGGACTTGTTAAAAAATGCAGTATTTTGTATAGTTCTGTGATTAGTTTTTTCAAACTGAGTCACCTGGAAAGAAGGAATCTCAATTGAGAATTTCCTCCATCAGATCAACCTGTGGACTTGCCTCTGAGGCATTTTCCTGATTGCAAATTGATGGAGGCCCAGCCCACTGTGGACAGCGTCATCCCTCTGGGCTGTAATAAGGTAGTTGAGGGGGCAAGGGGAATAAGTCAGTAAGCAGTGCTCCTCCATGGTTCCTGCTTTGAACACCTACCTTGGCTTCCCTACAGCCCCCACCACCCCATGATGAACTGTGATCTAGATATGTAAGCCATCTAAAGTCCTTTCCTCCCAAAAGTTACTTTTGGTCAGTGTTTTATAAGCAAGAGAAACCAAAATAGGACAAGTTCTTTAGCTTTAGTGTCTAATTAAAACAACTGGGGTTTCAGTTTGTTTGTTTTTTTTTTTAAAGACAGGGTTGCACACAACCCATACTAGTCTTGACTCACTATGAAGCTGAGGATGACCTTGAACTGATCCTCCTGCCTCCACCTTGTAAGTCCTTAGATTGCAGGTATATGTCACACACCTGGCTGAAATAACTACTTTCAGAAGAGTTTAGCACTTCCCCATTACCTTCAATGTGGCTGTTTTCCTTTGCAATAATCAATAAACACTGTTCAAATTTACTTTGCATCTGCCACTCACACACCCTAGTTGAATATAATTATATACTGTTTTGGTACAAGAAACATTATCAGGTTCTAAGAGTCAGAGCTACACCACAGATGTAACAGAGGAGTGGCTCTCTCCGTACCCTCACTACCAATTCTCTTTTTCTTTTATTTATTATTTTTATTTTATGTGTATGTGTGTATTGCCTGCATGCAGGTAAGTGCACCCGTGTCATGCAATGACCGTGGAAGATAGAAGAGGCTGTTGGATCCTCTGGAACTGGAGTTACGGACAGCTGTTAGCTGCCATGGGGTGCTGGGATTCGAACCCAGCCAGGTCTTCTACAAGAACAACCAGTGTTCTTAACCACTGACCCATCTCTCCAGCCCCCCAATTCTCTTTTTCACAATACTTTCCCACATATTCCATAGGTAGCTAATTTATTCTCTACTTTTTTTTTTTTTTATTTGAGACAGGGCCTCCCAGTAGCCTCAGCTGGCCTGGAACTCACTATGTAGATCCACCAGCCTCCTGCCCCCCACCCCCAAGTGCTGGGATTAAAGGCGTGCACCACCACACCCAGCTACTCCCTACTTTCTAAAAAATTAAATATATTCTTTAATTTTTTGATACATGTCTACTACTTTGTTACATGAAAGGTGCACACATTAAATATTCTTTTGCGGTTTTTTAATATTTTATTATTTTTATGTGTATGAGTATTTTGCTTGCATGTATGTAAGTGCACCATGTAAAGCAATGTCCAAAGAGAGTGTCAGACCTCCAGGAACTGGAGTTACAGATGGTTGCTGGCCGCCATGTGGATGCTGGGAATCAAAACCAACTCCTCTGGAAGAACCAATGAACCACCTCTCCAGTCCATCAGTTTTTTGTTGTTTACTTAAAAAGTGTATCTTGGCCGGGTGTGGTGGCACACGCCTTTAATCCCAGCACTCGGGAGGCAGAGGCAGGAGGATCTCTGTGAGTTCAAGGCCAGCCTGATCTACATATGAGTTCCAGGACAGCTGGAGCTACAGGGAGACCCTGTCTTCAAAAGACCAAAAAAAAAAAGTGTATCTTGGAAGTCATTTCCAATCAATTCATAAGTTCTTTTTCTCTTTTATAGCTGTATAATATTACATCGTGGGGTCATGCTGTAGTTTATTAACTCACTTTCCTACAAAGAGATGATTTGGTTGATTTCAACATTTTTAAGTAATTAATGTATATATTTTTGTATTATTGAAGCATGTAGCTTTGGGGTAAGTCTCTAGAAATGAGATTATTGGACCAAAAGGGTGTTAGAGTTGTCAAGTTAGCCTATGGGAAAGTTGTACTGATCTGCAATACCACTAACCATGTCTGATGAAGAGTATGTGAAAAAATTAATGGCTATTAACTGAGAAAAGGTAGGAGGCTAGGGGACAGGAGAGTTTTTTTTTTTTTTTTCTTCTTTTTTTTTGAGAGAGTGTTTCCCAGTAGCCCAGCTGGCCTGGAACTCACTATGTAGACCAGGCTGGCCCTGAATCACAGAGATTCACCTGCCTCTGCCTCCTGAGTGCTGGGATTAAAGGCATGCACCACGACACCAGGCTTCGTAAAGTATTTTCAATGTACATGCTGTCCATATCTTCTGAATTTTGAGCCATATGGATATATTATTTAAATAAAGCAATAGTTTCACAATGTTTTCTAAGAAACAGAATAGTTTGCATTTTATAATTTTAATTAGATTCCGTGGCTCTGCCGCCACCATACCCAACTAATTTATTATTCTTTAGTTTTATGTGTATGAGTGTATTGCCTGCATGTACATAAGTGCACCCATGTTGTGCGATGCCCATGGAAGTCAGAAGAGAGTGTCAAACTATAGTGTAATTGGAGTTACTGATGGATGTTAGCCGCCATGTATGTTCTGGGAATGGAACCTGGGTCCTCTTCCAGAGCAGTCAGTGCTCTTAACCTCTAAGCCAACTCTCCAGCCTCAATAGTTTGGTTCTAATAGAGAAAAAACAAGAATTCAAACTGGGTTACCCATGTTCACTAAAGAAGAGGTGTCATGATGACCGGTGGCCAGTCCAAGTCTTCCCGTAACAAATACAAACCAAGTGTGGCAGCACTAAAAAATAAATAAAAGGGTGAACACTAAAAAAATAAATGCAGCAGCCCTAAGATAAATAAATAAATAAAAGTGTGGCAACACTGAAGCCAGCGACTCCCCAGGGTTTTTTTTTTCTTCATTTTTAAAAAATTGTTTTTGAAAATTATTTCCAAGTTTGACATCAATAGAAATACCAAATATGGAGGAATCATACTGTAAGAGCTTCCTGTAGATTCTGGAAGCAGCCCTAGAAAATAAACCCTGAACCTTGATAATTCCAAGTTTCATTTAAAGGAGACTCTAGGGGCTGAAGAGCTGGCTCAGGGGCTAAGAGCACACACTACTCTTGCAGAAGCCCTGAGTTCAGGCCTCAGCACCATGGCAGGCAGCTCCTGTGATGACACCAGCTCCAGGGGATTCAACAACCCTCTTCTGCCCTCCTTTGGCACTATGCTCACATGCACACAGACACAAATAAGCAAAATAAAAAATAAATCTTAAAAGATTCTAGGGCCAACAGCATAGCTCAGAAGGTAAAAAGCACTTGCCATGCAAGGCTTGATAACCTGATATCAATCCCTAGAACCCACATAAAGCAGCCAGATGTGGTGGCATTCATCTATAATCCCAGAATTCCTATGACGAGATGGGAGGTAAAGACAGGAAAATCACCCATAAGCTTATGGGCCAGCTATTCTAGAGCACACAGTATGAAAACAAGAGAGACCTTGCCTTAAAACAAGGTAGAGAGAACCAACTCCTGAAAGTTGTCATCTGGCCTCCACATGTGCACCATGGCACCTGGTACCCATACTCACACATATACATCATACACACTTGCACACACACTAAATAAATAAATAAATAAACAAACAAACAAACAAACAAATTTTAAAGACTCTAACATCACTAAATTTATTCTTGAATAGATTATGTCAATAACACTTTTTTTTTTTGGTCTTTTTGAGACAGTCTCCCAGTAGCCCCAGCTGGCCTGGAACTCACTATGTAGTCCAGGCTGGCCTGGAACTCACAGAGATCTGCCTGCCTCTGCCTCCTGAGTGCTGGGATTAAAGGCATGCACCACCACGCCCGGCCAGGTCAATAATTCTTATGTTTTAATTTAAATATTATGTTGCTCACTCACAAAGAAAATATGAATATTTTTAAATTGTGTTAAAAACAAAAAGAAATTAAAATAGCAATTTTACCTTGTCTTCTGTAATCTAAGGAGAACAGGACCCTATCTATACAACAACAATGATTAAAATGTATATTCACCATCAGCTGAAAATTTGTCAACAGCTTGGGTCAAAGTGAGGAAGTTGCCTGTAGATTTTGACATCTGAAAGAGAAAGTCAGTGACCAGAATCAGTAAGAATATACATAAATAGAATAACTCAAATCAAAGTAATTAGATGGGTCATGAATAGAATTTGAAACATGGGAAGAAGATATTTGATAGGACTTAGAGGGAAAACTACAGTTGAGGAAGTCAGTGACTGGGTTTCATAGCTATCAGGGCCACAATCAGGACAGACTCTCCAGCCTAAGCTCAGTCCACTGTGGTCTCTTACCTGTTCAGCTCTGGGTGGCTGGGCTAGATGTATGGAATGATTCCAGTGCAGCCAGAACACTGGATGATTACCTAACAGTACTACCATAGTCAAGAGTGATTGGGAAATGAAATGGATTCCTCTTCAAGGACCTTCCTGCCATGGTTTTGTTCCTGTTGTGCCAGGGACAGGCACCTAGGAAGCAGCATTTACAGGCAGGCACTCTTTGCTGCTTTAAAATTTCACGTCATAGCTGGGCATGGTAGTGCATGCTTTCAATCCCAGCACAAAGGAGGCAGAAGCAGGCAGATCTTTGTGAGATTGAGGCCAGTCTGGTCTACATGGCAAGTTCTAGGCCAACTGGGGCTACAGGGTAGACCTTGTCTCAAAAAGAAGAAAAAAAAGTTTCACATCATGACTATAACTTTGCTGAGGCCAAAGAAGTGACTCCAACACCAATTTTCTGCTGCAGGGTAATAAAGCATCTAATTCTAACAAAGTCAGTAGAACAACAATGATCAGACAAAGAAAAATGTCAAATTCTGACTTACAAAGAAATGAGGTTTTTCTGTTTGCTTGCATGTTTTTGAGACAAGGTCTAGCTGTGTCTCCCTGGCTGGCATAGAATTCGCTTTGTAGATCATGCTGGTTTTCAACAAGAGATCCGCGACCCTTTGCCTCCCCAGTGCTGGGACTAAAGGTATGCACCACCACACCCGGCCAAAAAAAAAAAACTTTTTAAATTACTTTTACTTTTAGGGTGTTGGTGAAATTGAATGCTTCATACTTCACTTTGTATCATCTGTCATTTCTTCAAATCTATATCTATTTCCATTATAACACTAATAAAGATTTTTTTATTTATGTGTATGCCTGCATATGTGGGTGTTGTGTGGGCATGCGTATGTGATGTACATGGGTGACCAGACTTAAGAAGATTCCATGGAACTAGAATTAGAGTCTGACATGGATGTTGGGAACTAAACTTGGGCTGTCTGCAAGAGCAACAAGTGCTCTTAACTGCCAAGTCATCTCTCTATCTCTAGCCCCATATTACAACACTTATAAGGATACTATAAGTGGGGCATGGTGGTGCACCTTTAATCCTAGCACTCGGGAATCAGAGGCAGGTGCAGAGTCAGTAAAAGAAAAACAATGAAGCTAGAGAAATGGCTCAGTGGTTAAGAGAGAGCATACTGCTCTTCAGAGGACCTGAGTTCAGTTCCCAGCACCCACAATGGATGGCTCACAATCAACCACCTATAACTCCAGCTCCAGGGGATCTGACACCTCCATCCTCTAAGCACCTATACTCCCATGCACATACCCATACAGACACTCACATATACATAATTAAAAATAATAAATCTTTTCAAAAAAAAAAGCTGGGAGTCGGGGCACACATCTTTAATCCCAGCACTCAGGAGACAGAGGTAAGCGGATCTCTGTGAGTTCGAGGCCAGTCTGGTCTACACAACCAGAACTACATAGTGAGAGACCCTGTCTCAAAAAAGAAAACAAGTAGTGGGAGTAACATTGCAGAAAAGAATACTAATATACACCAAAGAAGCATTATATGACATATAAAAATCCCCCCAACGTTCAAAATTCTCGTTCTACAAGAGTTGTAAATCACACTGTCAAACAAAAAGTACTAGGTGTTTACTTTATAAGAAGGGTCTCCTGGGTTGCAATGCTAAGATTTCTATGCTTTCTGCCCTCATTTCTCTTATTTTTTCTCTCTCCTCCAGTCCTAATTTGTGTCACTCTACATACCAGTATTACAACAAACCTCAATACTGTCTCTTCTACTTCCTCACTTCAGAGATTAAAATTTAGTTCATGCTGTTAGCTCTAGAGAGCTTAAACAAAGGTTTCTTTTTTTTTGGTTTTTTTAGACAGGGTCTCCCTGTAGCCCTAGCTGGCCTGGATTCACTATGGAGACCAGACTGGCCTCGAACTCCCAGAAATCAGCCTGCCTCTGCCTCCCAAGTGCTGGGTTTAAAGGTGTGCACCACCACACCCAGCGACAAAGTTTTCTTAGCTCTAGTTAATTCACCTTTCCCAGACCTTACCTTCTCTGAATTGAGCAGGAGGTGTCCATTCGCTCTCACAGCCACAGGCCACTTGTCACTTCACAGAGAAATAGTGCAAAGCAGAAAACAAAGATTAAAGCAAGATTATGGTTCAACCATGAAATCTTGAGGTAAATGTTACCAGTAAACTTATTTAGACAAATGTGCAAGGTCATTCATTGCAATCATTTGGCTTTGGCTTCTACAGTGTAAGGGATGAGGATGAGGGCCTCCCACATGCCAGCAAGGTGCTCCGTAAGCGACCTGAACTGTACTCCTGTTTTTAACAAGAAACAAGTGGCAATAAGTAAAGGACTCGCTCTGTAAACTATGACACAAGCAGACTGTGATACAACTATTTTAAAATGGCCAGGTGTGGTACACGCCTTTAATCCCAGCACTTGAGGCAGGTGGATCTCTGTGAGTTCAAGACCAGCCTGGTCTACACAGTGAGTTCTAGGCCATCTGGGGCTATAGGGAGACCCTGTCTCAAAAAGACCAAAAATAAATAAATAAATAACTATTTTAAAATCATAGGCGGGGCTACATGTATGAATACAGAAAGATCTTTAAAATACACTATTATGTGAAGAAGACAGACAAGTGAATACAACGTGGTTATCATTTAAGTATATAGCTACCTAATGACAGCATATGCATAAGCATTTTTTCCAATCAGGACAGACCAGGACAGCAAAGGGTCACAATGAACTTTTTAAACTTTATACATTTCTTAAAACTGCTATATTACTGTTATCAAACAGGCCAAATGTAACCCTCAGTGCATGCTTATGGACTGAGGTATGTATAAAATAGAAGTGTACTTTCTGCAAAATGCACATTTGACAAATCAAAATAAACCCTCAATAGTAATTCCTTACGATACTTGAAGCCATAAGACACCCTATTGACTATAAATAAATCTAGCTCACATCTACTTTAATACCTTTGTTCCGGCCACATAGCCACATGATTATAAAGGTAATATGAAAGATGATTTGGAATAAGATCCTTGCCAGAGGCTCGAAGATCCACAGGATACCAGAACTCAAATTCCTGCTTTAACTGATCTAGTTTTTCCTTTGGGATCTGAGTTTTAGGAATTGGAGCATCTTTGAAGAAAACATAATCCCAAACATCCTTAGTCATCTGCTGCGGTCTGCATCAAAATAAAACAAACAAACATAACTATTATTTTGAAACAATAAAAATTTTCACCTCACTGTGAACTGAAACTCTTCAATGTTACATCACACAAGAACAACTGGCTCTCATTAAGAGTCAGGACTGGATAACACAGGAGGGGCTAATTAATAATTTTTCTCAGGTACATAATGAAAAAGCAGAAAGGAACAAAATCCTGCTAACCAAATTCTTAAGAAAATTAAACATAAAATAACTTCTAAATATATAAATCAAAATGTCACAAGACCTACAAATAAACTGTTTCTTTTCCTTAACTATTTACCAACCTGATGCCCAGTGGAGACTCCGCCTGCCCATGAAGATTACCCCCCTGCAAGAGATGTGCAACTGTGTAAAATGCCATGTAAATAGTGGAATCTGACAGTGATTCAATCAGCCACTGCTCATCCCAAGGTAGCCGAGTACCTGCAATACAAAAAGATGAATGCCCACAGAAGCCAAAAGACATCTCCTACAGAATATACATTTTTAAGATGAGTCTAGGCATTTAGAAAGCTGCATATCTAGGAAGCTTTGTTGCTTTGGGGGATTTGTTGTTGCTGTTGTTGTTTTGGGTTGTTTTGTTTTGTTTGTGGTACTGGGAATTAAGCCCAGGGGTTTGCATAAGTTAGGCAAAGACTCCACCACTGAGCCACAACCCTAGCCCTAAGTTCTTAAATTCTATTTGAATAATTAATAAAGATAAAATAGTGCACAAAAACCATACCAAAATGAGTAAACGTGAAGTTCTTTTATAAAAAAAAAAAAAGTCACAGGGCTAGAAAAATGGCTCAGTGGATAAGAGCACTACTGCATAAGCATGAGGACCAGAATTTGGGTCCAAGCACCCACCAGACATCCTCCTCTACCCCCCAACATGCACATAGGTACATGTGCACCTACGTGTGCACGCACAGAGACACAGAAATACCACATACACATGCTCATATATACACAAATACATAAATAAAGAGGTCATGGGGTTAGAGAGATGATTCAGCAGTTAAGAGCAATGGCTGCTCTTGCAAGGACCTGGGTTCAGTTCCCAGCACCCATATGGCAGATAACAATCACCCATAATTCCAGTTCCAAGAGAATCTGAGGCGGTCTTCAGACCTCCTCAGGCATTGCACAATATAGGTACACTTACACACATGCAAGCAATACACTCAAAAACATAAAAAAAAATAATAAAATATTTTTTAAAAGAGGTCATATCATAAAAGTGGGGCATATTTCTAGCACAAGGTAGTTTCTCTCACCCTCTAACCAAAACCTATCCCTTCTAAATCAGCAAACTAGAAGGGGGAGAAGTGTATTTTCTGTATAACTGGCAAAGTCACCCAAATAGAAACATGAAAAGTCTGCTTACCTAAACCATAAGTTCTTGAGCAAGCATGATCTTGTAGCCAATCTAAGGAAGCTTCAAAATTCCTTCTGGTCTCCTCACAGAATCTAAGAACAAAGCAAAAGTGTCTCCTCCCCCTTTATCACCCTCCATATCTCATCTCCCTCCTCCTCATTTTCTCCATCTTACGTTTCTAGGTTCTTCAAGCACTGAAATGTCTGTTTTTTCCAGTTCTCCTCTCCATAATCCAAGTACCTGGAAATGAACAAATTTATGTTTTTTTAAGTCACAAATGACCAAAGTGACTGACAGAATTTTCTTGTGATGAAAGAACTAACCACTGGTCACACAGAGCCACGACACATTCATCTGAAGACCTGGATATCACTTGTTTCTCTGGCTCCATGTAAATAAATGCATCTCCCTAAATGAAGGTAAACAGAAACACGTCAGATATTATAGCAAATCAAAATCTGTCCTTAAGGATGACAGAAGTTACTGCTTAGAACAATTCTGTCTTCCTCTCCCCAGGGTTGAAGCTTTCTGCCTTTTTTTTGGGGGGGTGGGGGTCTTTTTGAGACAGGGTCTTCATGTAGCCCCAGCTGCCCTGGAACTCACTATGTAGACCAGGCTGGCCTTGAACTCACAGAGATCGACCTGCCTCTGCCTCCCAAGTGCTGGGATTAAAGGCATGCGACACCATGCCCAGCCCTTGTTTCTTTCTTTTTTTGGTATTTTTGAGACAGGGTCTCCTTGTAGCCCCATAGGCCCTGGAACTCACTACGTAGACCAGGCTGACCTTGAACTCACAGAGATCTGCCTGCCTCTGCCTCCAAAGTGCTGGGATGAAAGGTGTGAGCCACAACACCCAACTGCTCTGCCTTGTTTCTTAAGCCTTGCTTTTGAAAGGACATAAATGGGGCTGATTTGCTGCTCTTGCAGAGAACCAGTGTTCAGTTCCCAGCACCCACACTGGGTAGCTCACAACTGTCTGTAACTCCAGTTCCAGGAGACCCAAGGTTCTCTTCTGGCCACCTAAGGCACATGCACATATATGGTACATGTACATATGTGGTACACACACATACACCAATGCACACACACATACATAGAAAATTAAAATAAACCTCTTTTAAAAAGAAGACACATTTTCATCAAGTGGATCACTGTCCTACCTACTGATGAATTCCTCTTCAGTGAAAACAACGAAAACACTTTAGTACTTTCTAATCTTATGGTTTGATACCTGAGCTTCCCATTATAGCTTTTTATATTTGTTATGAAAATCCAGAGAAAATGGACAACAAAAAGCATGACACTGCTGCTTCTTTTAAAAAAAATACTCAAAGAATTAAACATGAAAGTTCTTATTTCCAGCACCCATATGGTGGCTAATAACTGTGGTGCATTTACACGCACGTAAGGCAAAACACTCATACACATAATATAAAAATAAATCAGTCAGGGGCTGGAGAGATGGCTCAGCAGTTAAGAGCACTGGCTGCTCTTACAAAGGACCTGGATTTGATTCCCAGCACCCACATGGCTGCTAACAACTGTCCATAACTCCAGTTCCAGAGGATCCAACACCCTCTTCTAACCTCCTTGGGCACTGCATGACACAGATGCACCTACCTATATATAGGCAATACACTCACAAATAATAAG